CTCACCAAATGTGCAAAACTAGAATGAATCTTCTGCAGAACATGGAATAATACGCCGCCATATGTTTTGTCTTTTGTGCATGTGGTGAGTAGAGGCCCTTAGGGCCACTGCACGTATTCCTAAGAAAAGAAAAACGAGAAAATTTTCTCGTTTTGGATTTTCTCGTTTTGGATTTTCTCGTTTTTCTTTTCTTAGGAATACGTGCAGTGGCCCTTAGGGCCTCTACTCACCACATGCACAAAAGACAAAACATATGGCGGCGTATTATTCCATGTTCTGCAGAAGATTCATTCTAGTTTGGCACATTTGGTAAGTAGTGCAGCCAAGCCCTGAGAATCACGTGCAGAGACCAACAAGGCCTAGCTAAGTGAGCAACCCATAACTGCTGAAACCGAGATGCACAGACCTGAATTCGAATCCAGACTATATAATCTTGGCCCACGCTTACGAACTGCAAGGTTGAAGTGTACCTCTGCTACATGTGAGGTCCTACCTAGTTAGCTGTAGGGGCCCTTCGGAAAAGAGGCTGGACACAATTAATACTCACATGTATAGACGTGGCCACAGTTTTGGGGTATGGCGTGGCCCTGGAGTTTGTCCCTCTTGCTTTCTGATTTTTAAAAGCGAGGGGGATGTTTGGCCACCCCACCCTGTCCTTCCAATCTTTTTTTTTTTTTTTTTTTTGGTGATGCACCACATCACGTGCGCGCGCGTGCATGCGCGTGCGCTCTGCGCCGCATGTGCCGCGACCCCGCGCACGGGATGCGCCGCAAGTATGCTTCAGACACCACCATCTCATGATTGTTTATGTGTTGAGTGATGTTTAGGTGAGTTCAGTCTATGTAAGTCGGTCCATTTCTCAGACTTCCGCTGCATACATGCTCATTCTATATTGGTTGATCTTTGGTTCTGCCCATACTCGGCGAAGTATTCACTAGTATGCAACAGAGGCTCTGGTGAACTACTGCGCATGCATATGAAATATAGTGGTCGTCTTTGACTGCTCCTTAGTTGTGGAACAGTTGTAGTACGGTTTAACAAATTGTGAGGATTTGACTCCTGCGCAGGCCTGAGGGGCCCCATATGCAAGTGTGCCCGCCCTAAGTGAAGGCGGGCCTAATAAATCACGAGAGGCCCAATGCTGTCAATTTCGTATGTGGGGTTCACGCACTTGTGTCACTTCAGATGGTTGAGGGAACCCAGGCCCAGAGCAGCAAAGACTTTCCACGGCCTTCTAGGCCTTTTCTGAAATGCAGGCCCTGGGGAAGATTTGCAGCAACATACACAGACAGTTGGGAGGCATAACTGAACGACGCCCAGCCACCTGGGGCCTACCGGAAGCTTCTGGGCGCAGGCCCAGCCCAGCCAGGCCGCAGGGAAGGCAGACTCTTTCCATATAGGAAAGAGCTCGCTGCCTGGAGAGAGGGGGAGGCACTTGCCAGTTCACGGCAGCGCTGCTGGAGTGGATGCTCGCGTGCTGCTGCTAGCGCTAGGGGCAAGGTGCTGTGCATGTGCGGTCGTGTGGGAAGAAGGGTGCTGCTGAGGGCAGCGCCATAACCCAGCTTCCATAGCTGGCTGGGCTTGGAATACAGCAAGGCACAGGGGTGGTCTTCGAGTGTACTGAAGGAAGACAAGGTGGATAAACGAGAGAGAGAGAGAGAGAGAGAGAGAGAGAGAGAGAGAGAGAGAGAGAGAGAGAGAGAGAGAGAGAGAGAGAGAGAGATGAGGAGGAGGAGGAGGATGTGAGGGCTCATACCTGGTATTGGCGATGGTCTGCATTGGCGACATCTTCATGTACTTCGGTGGCTGCTGGCATCAACAGTTGCATTGTCAATTCATAACCAGATAGTAGCTGTGTCGAGAGTAGTCTGGGTGTCGAGCGCCAAGTAGGGGGTAGGGCCTGGACTCCTATGTTAGTGGCGACGAGAGTGGGCTCTCATTGACATTCGATTTCAGTGTTTGGATTCTCCATTGGTGTAACATTGGTGCATTACTGCTTTCAGGTCACTGTGCGCCTTTCTGGGTTTCAATGTGATGGTGTAATCTGGATTCAGTCATCTCGCCATTGCTCATTTTCCTTGCAATTTGGTATCGGAGCTGGTTCAAACTGCGCTTTACTGGTTTTTCGCAATAGCTGTATGGTGCTTTGAATGAGGTGTGGGGCAGTGATAAGGCTTGGGTCTTGGATGATAGGCGGCCAAGGGTCGTGTGGGCGTGCCGGGAAGGCTATCTGGGAACATAGATGTGTACACTGGATGATGAGAGCTTGCTGATGTGGCATTTAAGCCGAGGTGGAACTGCATTTCGCTGATTGTTGTGCTAAAGCAAGGACCGGTCATCATAAATGCATGTCAGGTTGTCGGTGAGAAATCTGTGGTTGGGGGCAGCATTATGAGGTACGTTGCTCTCTTCCTTATCTACCTTCTTCATTACTTCTTACCGTGAGGAAGTGAGTTCTGTCTTGAGACAGAATGTGAGGTGTCGCGAGCGCTTAACCTTGGGAGTCGACATTCTTCCTGCGCAGCAAGCTGGTGTGAGGCGGGCGAAGCCTCTGAAGGGCCCTGGATGAAGCACTTGGGTCACGGTCACCATGCCAACCCGTTGGGACTAGTACACGCATGCTTTGCCGCAAGTCCTTGGTTCTGCAGCTGCGCAATAGAGGTCATGTTGGGGATGCCAGCCCTTTCAGAGACACTTACCAGACCGTCTATAAACATTTCTAGCGGGTTCCGATTGAACCCTGCCTGTGATCGTCGTCCTATCTACGACGTTAAATAATTCCTGAGGATCTTGGGGGTTGTCCTTAAACTGCCTCTTGATCAGCCAGATCAAACCGGAAGTAAGGCTCATTGCATGGGAGGGTAAACAAAGTGCAAGGGCTGACAGGTTTAGCATAAACTTGGGGCACAGGTGTGGTCCGGCTTGCACACCTTCAGACACGCTGCTCAACCAGATGCTCACGACGTCGACAAAAGAGACTACTCAAGAGGGATACAGGGGGAAGGGGGGATTCCGGCAGTGGTTCGCTGTGGTACTCATTAGATAAACTGCCATTCAGCATGCATCTCCACAGGAAATTTATTTTTATTTTTTATTATTGAGTTGTATGGACTTGGTAACAACTAACAGACAGCTGCAGATAGGATATGACATTCTTTGCTGCATTGCAATCTGTTTTAGAATAATCTAAAAAATAGAAATAGAGTTACCTTTAGGACCTGACACTGATTACTGGTTACCACTTGACTACTTCTCTCCAGGCTGACCGGAACTAGTGATTGTTAATACTCGGTTGGGTGTCATGCTGAGGTAGGATTCAGTGTGGATTCTAGTTTTAGATCACACACCGCTGTAAGTCATGAGTAAAGCAGACGGTACTGAGGAGGAGGAACGATTAGTGGAACCTCTTAGAGTTACCCGTAGAACAGCTCTCAATCGACCGATCACTTTCCAGGAGTTAGGTCCAGGAGAGGAGAGGACGCTGCGGAGGGAAGCCAAGGAGAGGGTGGCATTAAGGAGGTCTAGGGAAGCAGCAGCCAGGGTCGAGGCCGCAATGGCTACCACCTCTAGCATGTCACAGGCCTTGTCCCAGGCCTCTTTGTCAGGAGTTAGTCAGGGGGTTACTGAGGGTTCCATTAGTCAGACTGTTGGGTCGCAAGTAGGCCAACAAAGTCCTCTCACACCGGAGGATTATGAGATCCTTTGAGCGGAAGCCTTTCATGATGAGATGCAACAGCAGTTGAGAGACGCATCAGAGAGAAGACAGAGAGCGATATTAAGAAAATTTAGACTAGGAGTTAGGAGGCAGGAGTTAGGAAAATTAGAAGCACTAGATGAGTCGACACTTGACCCTGCAATGCAAGCCCTGCGTCGCTCGCTTCTTTGTGTGGCAGAAATGCAGGTCGGTTCAGCAGGAAGTGCTGGCTGATTTAGTGGCCGGCTAGAACCGAATTCTGGCTGCACTGCAAGCTGCTCGCCCAGTGATGAGGCAGCCTCAGTATTTTGTAGCTCCCCCTTTGGTTGCGGGTCCCTTAGTGATGTCGTCGCCGGTAGGGCCCTCTTTTGCTCCTAGGTTTGGCATGCCTCTTTCAGGTGGTTTAGCAGCAGTTAGTGGTCCGGTTCCTAACACTTCTCCCGTACCATCGATGACGGTGGCAGCTACAGTCCCTCCGTCAGGGCAGACTTGGGTTAGCATGCAGCAACTTGTCTCAGTGGCTATGCAGCCGATGCAGCTGGCACTTGGGCCAATCCAACCATGGAGTGGATGCCCAAGATTCCCTTGCTGAGTCCTAAACATTTTTCTGGCGACAAGAAAAAGGATGAGGACCTGAACACCTGGGTGAGAACTGTGCCTACCTATGTGAGGCACAAGCTCACAAAGCCAGAACAGGAAGTTATAGTCGCTGCCTCCTTTCTAGAGGGTTCGGCAGCACGAAGGTTTAATGGTCTAGTTCAGCAGCAGGGCTATGGTCAAAACGTCGATGCTTGGGCCCAGGCCCAGACATTAGAAGACTTCGTACGGATTGTGTACAACAAGTGGCATGACCCTTGAGGGGCTCAAAAGGCCACCGACACAATCAACAGTATCAGTTCCAAATGGTACTGGACTGTGCGGGAAGTCACAGACACCGTAGAATGTCTGATCGAAGTGCCTAGGGTACGCTATGACCCACATGTACTCCTCACAACTTATCTAAGATGTTTGGCCACATATGTCAAAAATAAACTAGTAGACGAGGCCAACATCGATGTCCATAACTTCGTTACTTTCAGCAAGAAAGCCTTAGATATAGAGGCTAAACTTGGGAGCGCGAATCAGGGTCAATCAGAAGGTAGGAAAAAGAACTTCCACAAGATTGGAGAAAGAAGGGCAATCTCATGTTCGTCGACAATGATGGTCAAGCGACCGAGATTGACGACTTCCCTTACTATGGGGAAGACACAGAGCAGGATGGGGCTAGCGAGACTTTGAATGGGGGAGTCGTAGCTCCGATTAAAGAAAAGGCTAGGGGGACGGGGAAGCAGAAGGTAGGCCGGTCCAAGGGCCAGGGCAACCAAAGAACACCCGCATCAGTAAAACTCGGTTTAGATTACGAGGTATAGAGGGACCGAGTCGCTAGGGGTACCTGTCTGAACTATGGCAAATATGGCCACACGTCTAGGACATGCCAAGGCAAAATGGTCACAACAAAGGTGGCCTCTCCAACTGTGGTAGGCTTATCTTCGAGCCCCGTTGGTGCTTCTAAGAGCACTTCGCAGGGAAACACCTCGGGCCAGTTCAAGCGTTGGTCAAGGCTAGTGAACCATTCATCGCCCCGTAGACACATTCAGACCCACCGATGCTCTGTTCGAGAGACGTGTCTGAGTCCGTTAAACAGTTACGGACTGAGTGGTCAGGTAAGGACCCCAGAGACTCTTGGGCGAGGATCAGCAAAGGTCCTAGGGGTGAAAATTTTGTGGTAGAGGTTGATGTAGGTGGCCGCAAAGTGGGCGCCTTCGCAAACATAGGCTCTACACGTAACTTCATCCGTTGTGCTTGTGTGGACAGACTGCGCTTAGGGAACCAATTGCAACGGCTCTGCAAATTTGTGGCATCTACGCTAGCCAACAAACACAGTATGGTTGTCCAAGACTATGTCAAGGACGTAGTATGCACCTTCTCCTATGGAGGAGGGGAACTGAGACACAAAATCCCATTCTTATCCAGCGACGGACTGCCATTTAATATGCTATTATGCATGTACTACCTCGAGGTTGCTCTTCCCAATTCGATTGGGATAGGAAGGTGATCATCCACAAATTGCCTAATGGAAGAACCATTAGACTGCAGAAGTTCAAAGCTAGCAATTCAGTGAAGAACTATGGCTGCATGTGTGCATCCTCTTTCTATAACTATTATAAGCAAAATCGCGAGGAGGCCATGTACCTAGTCCTTGTCTCTGAGAAAGGGGAGGCCGTAAAATCACCCACAGAGATAGAAGCAGTCGTTGCTCAGTAGCCAAACCTTTTTTAGGAGCCCAGTGGTGTGGTGGAAAGGGAGGTTGTCCATGCGATAGAAGTCGTCCCGGGTAGCAAAGTACCTAGAGGAGGGATCTATAGGATGTCACCTGTGGAGTTGGATGAGCTCCGCAGCCAGCTCAAAGAGCTCAAAGAGAAGGGATGGATTCGGCCTAGTACCTCCCCTTATGGTGTTCCAGTCCTATTCGTTCCTAAGAAGGGAGGTACCCTAAGGATGTGCATTGACTGTAGGGGTCTCAATGCCATCACCATTAAGAATGTGGGGCCCCTACCCAGCATCGACGACCTCTTGGATAGAGTGCACAGATGTCGGTACTTCAGAAAGATAGATCTGAAAGCCGGATACCATCAAATTGCCATTCGACCTGAGGACCAGCACAAAACCGCATTTCAGACCAGGTATGGTCTGTACGAGTTTGTGGTGATGCCCTTTGGTCTATGCAATGCTCATGGAACTTTCCAGCACGCGATGAACAAGATCTTTCATGTACCTCGACGGTATCCTTATCTTTAGTAGGACTGTAGAGGAGAACGCCGAACATCTAAAAATAGTGCTAGTTCTCCTACGGCAGCACCAGTACAAAGTTAACTTGGAAAAGTGCGAGTTTGGGCGCACCAAGATTAAATACCTGGGCCATGAAATTTCAGCGGATGGGTTGAGGCCGGATGATGCCAAAGTGGCCAGCATACGTGCCTAGCCCAAACTCCAGACTGTTACTGAGGACCGGTCGTTTTGGGGGCTGACGAGCTACTATCGTCCGTTTGTCAAAAACTATAGTACTATAGCTTCCCCATTAACCGACCTAACCCGCCTTGACACCCCTTGGGAGTGGACCGAAGAGTGTGACGCAAACTTCAAGAAATTGAAGTGTGCTCTGACACACTATGAAGTCCTCAAACTACCAAATCTTGAACAGCCCTTTGTAGTGATCACAGACGTCAGCAAATATGGCATAGGCGCGGTCCTTGCGCAAAAGGAGAGGAAAAAGTTCAGGCCCATCGAGTACATGAGAACGAAGATGCCATCCCATAAGTTAGCAAAGTCCACGTATGAGCATGAGCTTTGTGCCCTCTGTAGAGCGCTGGTTCACTGGAGACAGTATCTCCTTGGCAGATTCTTCGACCATGAGACTTTGCGCTGGATCAAGACTCGGTTTGTACTCTCAGATGCACTTAAAAGGTGGATCCAAATGATAAACATGTATGACTATCAACTTCACCCAATAAAGGGAGAGTATAGCAAGTTAGAAGTGAAAGATAACGTAGCTTCTGATGAGTTTACGGTGGTCAATGGCTTGCCGTTCCTTGAGAAGGCTGGGAATAAAAGATTGTGTATACCCGATAGGGAGTCTTCACGAAGTTTGTTTTTAGGTGAGTGTCATGATGCAACTGGGCACTTCGGCTACAGAAAAACATCAGTTGACGTAGTGCAGACATTCTGGTGGTCGTTTATGATGCAAGATTCAAAGAAGTACATTGAAACTTGCCAGGTTTGCCAACGGGGCAAACCTAGGACTAAGGCTCCCCTTGGGCTCATCAAGCCCCTGCCGATTCTTGAAGGTCCA